AAAAAAAAAAAAATCACCATGTATTGCAATAATATTGGAGCACAGACAAATATACATTTGTATAATTTAGAACGTTCTATTTTAACATTTTAATATTAACAAGTTGGTATTAACTAACAAATATCAATAAGTAACTGTTGTAAATAAAGACTATAATATATTGTAATAATTTAATAAGTAGTAATAATAATAATTTATAATAATATGTATAATAATATATAATAATAATTTATTGTGATGTCAATTATGCACGAATTGTTGAATTTCCTTTTGTATATATTTGTCATATTTACATAATTTGTAAATTTTGCACGCTTTTTATATATTTTATGTGTATCCGCAGTCTTTAATTGTTATTGTCTTCAGAATATTTTTAGATAATCAACTTTTTCGATTATTATTTAGACTTTAAATTATTTAGAATATTATTAATCTTTTTTAAATTATTATCAAGCATTTTTTGTACAATTTTTCCTGTACAAAATCGATTGACCAAATTTTTTATATTTTTTAAACGTAAATATATTAGGCAAATGTATAGTATTTTAAAGTATAATATGTGCGATGTAAATACATGTATATAAAAAGTTAATTTCTATATGTATTAACAAAGAAATCAACACGTTTATAAAAATAATCAGATGTTTACAACAATTTAATTAAGTACAATTTTATATTTAATGATATCACATTTAATTTCTTTATTTGCATTTAAAGATATGATGGTGATGATTTAATGAGAAAATGATGATTATTTATCTCATTTTTCATTACATTTGATTAACAAAGAAATTAACACATTTATAAAAGTAATGTAGCAATTTAATTGAACTTTAAATAATAATATATAATACATTAAATTTAATTTTTTAATTAAACATAATGAAGAATGAATGGTAATGATTATTCATTTGTGATGTTAAATCCAAAATTAAAATGTTACATCCAATTACTTTTAATACAAATTAAATCTATACAATAAATTGCTATGCAAACAGATAAAGACAACAAAAAGCAAGTCAAATCTAAAACTGAATTAAATAGTTAAATAATAGGTAACTGGTTCATTTTAAATTAATTATACACGTAATTATTAAACCTGTTTAGGTGAGAAAGATTTTTCAAATCACAGAAAGCCTGAAATCTTAGTTGTTGCTTAACAGTTTAATCCGCTTCCAAGATATATCAAATTCTATGATAATTCGATACTTTATCACTGCGTGGCAGTTACACGTTTTATCGTGACATTATTACACTAACATTTATATTTCAATAGATCCGAGCCTCTGCACAATCTTTCATTCTGTGTATGCAATTCACGGTTTTTCATCTCAGAAAATAGCCTCTCTCGTATCTGTTCACAAAAGATGAACATTTCCAAATCATAGTGACCCATACACAATGTGCTACTGAAAGTATTGCGCCAACAATGACATTTCGACATTTTAATTTTACGTGGAGAAAAATTTTCAAAAAAGAATTGGAATTTACTGCAAAATTCATTTTGCATATGATCTGGTACTAAAAAAAAGGGAGAAAAGTACTAGAAATTGTAGTAAAAAAAAGTACTAGAAAAGTACTAAGTTTTAGTATTAGAAAAGTACTAAAACTTGTTTAATTACACAAAATATTTGACATGATTCACATAATTTATAAGTGTATAATTAAAAGGGGAAAAAAATAATGACATTGAGAAAAATTACAAAATAGCAACATTACAAAATTCTGGAATAATATTCTTATTTCTGTACAAAAGAAATTAATTTATTACGCAATATTCTGTGTATTTTACACAGATATTTTTATACTCTTAATAATCACATCTTCAGAAAGGAATTGGAAAGTTAGAATAAATGTATTTACCCAGTAATATGATAGGTAAAGTATCTCTTCATCTAGTTTCACAATACACCATTTCGATCCGAAGATTAACCTAAATCATCTTGCGTTTCAGCAGGACCCTTATTTACGAAGAAGGTGAATGAAATAAAGATTTACACAGGCATGATAACAATGAATGTTGCAGGTCTGTTTCACAATTAGATGATAACCGATAAGGTCTAGAATAGACCTGTAATTGTTGAATCGGTTAATAAATTGACGATCATTCCAATAAAACTGAACTGACCATTAAACTGAAGCTGAAGTTTAAAAAAATTGGATTCTACTTAGATTATAGTTGTGCAATATTTGCTTATTATACTTGTGAGCAATGTTGTACATGTAATTACGAAAGATGACTAGTTTGGAACACTAATTTGTTTAAGACAAATTAAAAATTTTTGTGATAACTGTTATTTTAAAATTATTTAAATCTCTGACAGATTTAACAAAAATTACAAATTGATCATTTTGGCCATTTAGGTGATCCCAGTGATCGAAGATCGTGACAATCACACATTCTGTCGTTTCGCATGCAAAATTTCCCTCCTAAACTTTTTTTTTATTTCCAAGAAGCATTATACATGCAAGGAACATTGCAAAGGAATGCAAACCTCAGACTATCGATTATCTGTATTGTTCATCAGATGAAGATGGGTGGGTCGAGAAGCCACAAATCTCATGCTGAGGCGTGATATGACCTCTCAGTTATGCTGTGCAGTATTAGCTAAGAAGAGCACGCCGGCATAATTCGCCCTCGGATCAACGCTCATCATTATTTACTGCATCATAGTATTAAAAGATCCGTTGCTATTATGAAACTATTCGCTTCTCTTATTGTTCAAACGGTAAAGGTATATTTCATCGATATAAACGTTTATATAAATGCACGGTGAACAGCCAGTTTTACTCTCATTGTCGGTGTATCTGGTTATTTTAAATTCAATAGATGCACAATAAAAGGGGATGCTTTTGTTCTCGAAAATTGTGAAAATTCAAATTGAAGAATTTCTTTTTCGTGACTATTAGATCCACTATGATTTTCTTTTTTACTTTTTCTTCACTGGCAATATGTTCATTATTATTATTTTATGTTAGTATATTAATTTAAATTATTTAATATACATTTAACATTAACTTTTTTTTTTTATTAAATATTTCAACAGCTTGTACCAGAGAATAATATCGGAAATTAAACATTTTTAAATAATAAATTATTTATAATGTCAAAAAATATTTTTATATCGGAAGTATGTGATCCCTTCTTTTTTCTTCAATTTTATTACAACATGAAATTTATATCTGTATATAAAGTTAGAAGCTTTGTCTAATTTATTTAATTATGTGTCACATTACATATTATATTATATATCGTATTAAATATAACTAGAAATATAAATATAATATATGATTATATTACAATATAATTTTAATTATTTTTATATAATTATAATTATTTGTTATTATAAGCTTAAATAAAGCTTTTAACTTTATGTATACTAAATTATATTAAATATAAATATAATGTATACTAAATTATATTAAATATAAATTATATTAAATATAAATATAAATAAATTATTATAATATTATTATATTTATATATTGTATAACTCTACTGTATATTTCATATTATATTAAGTTAAATTAAATTAGAATTTGTGATGATCATGGTGTTACAGCTACAATTAAATAATATCTTCGATATTAAAAAATTAGAATTATAGCCAAAGATCAATTCAATATCAATAATTAAGGAATATCTTTGATTATATTTAATTATAATTAAAAATTACAGATCACGAGTTTTCTCTTAAAAAAAAAAAAATAAATATTGCAGAGTATCGCAATTATTCATCCAATCATTAACTACACCGTGCTGTTATGCTCGTGGCTAAATATTTCAAGAACGGCGAAAATGAAATACACTTCGTCACAATTTTTTCAATAAACGTTTATTTCATTGTCGTATGTCTGTTATGTACAAATTACAATTTTACTTGGCAATGCGAAGAGGAAAGTGAATGCCAAAGCTAAAGTGGAATTCAAAGATTTTTTATTGTTCCGGTTGTGGTGGGTGCGTTCTTATGTACTCGAGGGCTCTTTGAATTAACACGGGAACAGCTGGAATGTGCTCGCCCTGCGGTTGGAATCCATTGTGATCGGCAACGTATGCCACTCTGATTGGTGTACCATCGGGGGATGTATATTGGTACTGTCCATTGGTAACGATAACAGGTGCGCTCCTTGCATCTGTAGCTACCGGAGTACCACTTTCAGAGTGATATATCCCATTTTCTGTCTCGTAAGAGTAAGAATAGGACCCGTCGGAAGAAATATCTTGCGACTGTTTGAGGATAGTTGGTTGACGAAGCACGTCAGCCGAGGCCGCGGCTAAGAACATTACCACCTGAAACAAATGTGCAACATATTAGTTGTAAATACAATATTACTTATGGAATAATTTACAAATATAAATATTACTAGGTATTTCTATCTTATCATATAGATAAGAGAAGAATTCTATCTTATCATATGTTAATATGTTATAAGAATTCTATCTTATCATATGTTTGTGAATGAAACTATATTCCAATCACAGATAGTATATTAACTTTGTAATATATTGATATTTAAGTATAAATTTATAAATATGGATAATATTGCTCGTGATTACGTTATGTGTGTATTGATACGTAAAAAATTTATATTATTTAATTGAAAAGTTAACAGATGCTGAACTAACATAAAATTTTTTAATTAATTATGTAATTCATAAATTATTAATATTAAGTATAATATTGTTCATGAAATAATTTGTAAATATAAATATATAGTTATTATATTACGATTTATTTATATATATTATACGTTGTATCTATCTTATGTATTATATAGTATGTATATCTTATGTATGTGATGAACTTTGTAACATACTAACATTAAGTATTAATACATAATGCAGAATTAGCTTCATGAAAAATTTATATTATTTAACTAAAAACTTATACACTATATTTATGTCAGACCAGTATAAAAATTTTTAACATCAATTTATAAATGTAAATATAAAATAAAATTTCATAGATGTAAATAGCATAACTTGATTATAATATTATATAAAAGAGAGAAGATTATAGATATAAAATTATTTTAAAAATTATTTTAAAAATTGATACACATTTGCCTGTATGTATATACATGATGATATATGAATTTAATGCCATGAATTTGTGAATTATAGACACATGAAATTTGGTGAGGAGCAACAGATTTTTGTTTATAAATTCTTTACATTTCTAATTTTTTTTCAATTTCTACTGAAATTTGGTATTTTTTACTGAAAAATAAAAAAAACTTAAATAATAAAAAACAATTTTATTTAACCTTTAATAGTAATATAATTTAATCTTTAATATTAATTTAACCATAATTTCAATGAACTTTAATAATAATAATACATTATACTATATTTTATTTAATCTTCTCAACAATAATATATTTTTCATCGAAGATTCAGACATTTCCAAATGATTTTATTACTCTTCTCGAAATGATTTTTACAAATCGATGTCGAATCACAAAGAAGTTCACTTATCTTTGAAAAAATGATATGATTTTGGAAATTTCGCCGAAGGTTTTCTACATATATCTCGGGAACTAAGGCTGAACGTAAAAGTGTCAAAGTATAAGGGAAAGTTGTTTTTAGAACGATGATCTCAACATATTTTAAGGTCATTGAAATCGGCGATGAGTCCCGTTTTCCAAATAAAAAAAATTCTTTTTCAACAAGACATCACTCACCATTGAAATTACCAAACTCTCACAAATGCATTTATAAATACAATATTTACAAATGAAACATTATCGAGTTACACAATCACTGAAATTTGCACAAAATTGATACTTCGTTATCAAATTCTAAAGTCACTCTTAGTTTCAAGTGTCGACAAAATAAAAATAAGACTTTGGATAATTAACTATTGAATTTTTTATATTTCAATGTTGCCCTCAATTTTGCAAATACGAAGAATTTAAAATGTTCGACGTAAAAGTTAATCAAAAAATCATATAATGAGAATTGCTTTCGTTTATTATCGTTTAGATTTTTCGTATGTATTTCGTTTAGATTTGAGACACTGTTTAATTTCAAAGAAATACAAGTACGTCGAAAATGGCCGAAAAAAAATAGAAAAATTCACCCCTAATTGGTATCATTGGAAATTAGAAACTATGAAAATTTACATTTTACATTATTTGATTTAGTATTATTACTAGACTGCGGTCTAAATATAAAAAAAATAAAGTTCTATTTTTTTGAATCATATTCTCAGTAATATTAATTAGTTATAAAAATTTTAGTCCGGAATTAATATTAAATCAAATATTACTAGTCTAATATTGGTATTACATTAATTTTATTGGTAAAAAAATTTTCGATCATAATTTTCGAAGGCATTTGAAAACATCGAAGCCTTCAAACTATAAAAATCTCTATTAGAAAAAATGCAAAATGAACTTAGATGATCTTAGATCTTCAATTTTTGTAAATTCTCATAGTGATATGTGATTACAAAGAAAAGAAATGTGAAAAGAAGAACTCACGAGAAATTTCATTTTAAACGACTGTAGGCAGTTATCCACCAGTGGCAAATCCAATGGAGCGAAAACTATGTTTCCGAATGTGATACCTGTGTAACGTGAATGAGCTTTTATACGAAACTCTGGACACTACTTTCCCCGAATATTCGAAAAAAGAAGAGGCTACAGTTTGAAGATGGACAAGGAGAAAAAGAGTGATTAAGCATGAAGAAGAAAGAGACAGACTCACTCTAACAAGGACTCGTTGGAGAAGAAAAGAGGAGTCTACAAAATTTATTCATAAATTTGACATTTCCACGTTACCTAAATCGATCGCTTGTGTAACTACGTATATTATTGTATCTTTTGACTATTTATAGCATAATAAGATCATGTGTAAAATATGTTTAACTTCATTGTCTTGTCTAACTTCTGAGCAATGAGAATTATTTAAATTATATGTACAATAGCAATGTAATAATATATTAATTATATATATAGAATTATAAAATTATATTGTATTATAATTATTATATATATATATGTTGCACAATAGTATATATGTATATATGATTTATTAATAAATATATAAATGTTATATATACATATTATTATATATAAATGTTATATATACATATTATATATATTATTAATATTAATAAGTTACATATTATTAATATTAATAAGTCGTAAATGTATACAATATATTATAACTAAATATTATTATAAAATTTAATAGTAAAACATATATGTACACACATGATTATATGTAAATGAAATGATAAGATTAAATTATAATAAAAGATTTGATTACAAAGTGTGCATTAAAATGTTTAAAATTTTCATTACTATGCCAAATCTTATTGGTCATTTAATTTCAATAATCGCCAAAATATCAGATGTCATGATTGGAAATGTTATATAATAACCTTCTCATTCTTGAATCTTCTTTCATCAAAAATGACTACATAACAAAAATAGTTTTAAACTTATGGCTTTAAACCATACAAAAAATAGATATATATTTGAATTAAAAAATATATTTCTATTTATAAAATTATATATTTAATGTATTTAATTTATATTTGTAATTATATATTCAATATATATTCATATAGTTTATCCAATGGGAATTAAGCAAGATTATTAAATGTTAATAATTATTAATGATATTGTGGAACCATAGGTGACCATGGTATAATAATTTGTATTACATCACGAGAATTTAAATTGTTTAATTTTATTTCGTATTTTATATTTTTTTCTAATAGAAATTCGTAATGAAATTCAATTGAATTTAAAATTCCAAAATTAAATAATAAAAAACAAATTTTTGTGTTTCTAACTATTCAATGACATCAGTTCAAGCTCAATTTTATTACACATTATGTGCTTGATATATTATATGAATTGTTTAGGTCAATGAAATAGTTCAACTGATTGTCAGTGAATGATTTTCGATAATATGAAAAAATCGAAAATGCAGTTAATTTCGCTAAATATGCAACGTAAACCAAATTGAAAATTCCTATAATTTTGTCATATAATTTATTAAAAAAAATTTTCTTATATTACAACAAACATTTTATTATTAACATTTAGAAAATTTAATTAAAGAAGCAAGTTTCATATTTGCCTTGCAGACACATCATATATATATATATATATATGTATATATATGAAATAATTTCATGAAATATGTTCAATGAAAAAATGTTAAAGTTTATTGGTCGAAATGTCCCATTACTTATATATGCATACAAAAAATGTCAAGGTGGTTGGCCAATACTTAGTTAAATTTCGAATCTGAAATTGAAATTGAATACGTCCATCAAATAATTCGAGATATAATAATTCAAGAAATAGAAAATTTTATTCCACGTTTTTTTATTTATTTTCACACGTGGAACAACCTCTTCCGTCAAATTTAAAATTAACTAAATTCAAGTGTAGTCGATAAATTTTCCAACACGATTTTCTTCGAAAGTGAAGACTTTAATGAAAAAAAATTGTATTCTCTTTTTACATAGAATCACAAATTGCAGGCCACCCTGTATATTCGCGAGAAATCTATTGGTCTCCATATAAATTTTAACATGATGAAAGTGAGATAGGTTAATTTTTTCGCACGATACGAGAGAAGCATGATATGATAATAAAATAGCGTTAAAATATATGGGCGAATGTATTGTCGGTCAAGGCTGTTTATTTCTCTTCTAGCCCATTTTGCTCCTTCTCTTGCTATAGAAAGAAAGAAAGGTGAAGATTAGGCAAGGAAAGTGAAGAAGGTTTATTACCATGCCAACAAGGACAAATGTTGTCTAAAAAGATAGACGAAAGAGAAAACCTTTTGTAAAACATCAGATAACAACGAAAGAATAAGAGACAAAGTCTTCATTTCCACAGAAAGAAAAAATACAGAACATCAATACACAGGACATCATGTCTGTAATGAAAATTTGATGAGATTATCAGAATTTTATAAAGTATTTTTTTCTTCCACTGATTGCAACATAGTTGCCCTAATATATTAAAAACTATTTTTTCTTCATTGGAAATTTATGTTCATTCGTTGATTATTTGCTAAATTTTTCACTTAATCTTATGCCATATATTATTAGAACTGTGATTGATTTATTATTATTAAAAATGAAGATATGATCTTATTAATGGATTCAAAGGATTAAATAATGATTTATCAATGCTGATTTTAACTTAATTCCTTATCTACCGGATTACTCAATAAATGTTTTCTAGTTAATAGAAAAGTTGAAGAAAAAGACTTAATAAAGATTTGATTTTTATATATTAACAATCTTCAAAATAGTTTCCACTTCTATTACTCAACTCAATAGAATCGCGAATATATGTAATATTTTACAAAGAAATTTTAATCTTGTTCATTTATTTTTTAATTTTCAAGATTTTAAATTTCTTTTTTTGAAGAAGTTAAAAATATAATAAATTTAATTTTGTAATGATGAAAAATATCATACATAGTATGGAATTTTACATTTTAAATAGTATTTTTACAAATCACAATATATGCAAAAATGATATCTTCTGAAACAATAATAAAAAATATTTATAATAATTCTATCACAAAAAGAACAGGCAAAAACTTCCCTTTAAATATTATTTCTTATCGCTTATTTATTATGAATGCATTACAGGTTCGTTTAATATTTGAAATAAAGTACAATATAGTATATTATTGTATAAAATCATAATTATATTTCATTCATCACAAATCATAATTTCTTAAACGTACACCAATTTATATGATATGAAATTACATTCATATCTTATAGTTTAATTACATTATATATGTTTATTTATGTTTAATTACATTATACATTATATATAATTACTTATAGTATCATTAATATTTTCTAGTGTTACAGTAAATATACTGATTTACTAGGTTTTGTAATTTATTATTTAAAATGATTTGCAATGCCATCTAATAGTGATGTACATACTTTCTAGTCAATACTCATAGGATAATAGAAATGCTATAAATCCACAAATCACAAATGAAGCCTGTACCTCGTCTGTGGTTGCAGGCTTTATTCTAACGATAATTTATTAACTATAAAAATAACAAAAAATAACAAAATAAA